CAGGGAGAATTGAACCGAACCTGGGAATCATTCTTCAAGTTCCTCATAAGCCAAAGATCAAAATATGCAGCAAAAAACTTGTTTTCTTCATCCTGCCAATATTACTACAGTCTCTAGCCATATGCAAAATAGTTTCATCTTCCAAGCTACACAAAGGGCAGGTAGCAGGAGCCATATTTATTCTAGACAAAAAGTTCCTAGTTGGAAGTCTATAATGAGCCATCTTCCAAAAAAACAAGCTGATACGATTAGGAACTTTCATCTTCCAAATTAAAGACCATATTTCATTGTCCTGTGTGTCTTTTTCTATATGATTCATCAAATCATTGTAAATATTTTTTACTGTAACCCCACTAGAACCCGAAAGCATCCAAGCAATTCTATCAGCACCACTTGGTTCATGAGGAGGAATATGGCTCCTAATGACTTGGATAATATCCTGAGGAAGGAAATTGGATAGTTTTCCACAATCCCAATCTCCATCACTAGTGACATACTCGATAACCTTTCTATCATACTCAACCGGAGGGATAGGAATAATAGCTTTGTTGGCTAACTTACACTCACTATCCACCCACTTCTCTCTCCAAAAAGCTACTGATTTTCCATCCCCAACATCCCAAATCAGCCGAGGTTTTAATTTGCTCTAGACAGCACAAATAGACTTCCAAAGATGTGAGTTACCATTCGTATAGCTGATCCCATCATAAACATTCCCACCATGAATATATTTGGCTTTTAAAAATCTAACCCAAAGCTGATCAGAGTCATTCAAAAGCCAAAATTAATTTTCCAATAAAGGCTTCATTCATGATTGTAACACCCCAAATGTGTAAATACATATAGGGTGCACCTTCATCATGCATTCAACGCGCGGAAGTCTAAATTTAAACTTTACGAATGCAAATATCAGAGTGCGGAATGGAAACACATAACCATACTTATTCCATATAAAATTCAAAGCGTTAAAACGTCAATACAAAATAAATAACACTAAACATTATTTAATGTAATCCCAAAAAGATTAACTAATCATAAATAAAAACATAATTTATGCCGCATCATAAGCCCAGTCATAATGTGGTTGTGGTTCCTCTAGCCATTGTGTACTTAGTGCTTCATCGAAATCATAATGTGGAAAAGCTTCTATTAATAATTTCATAGCCTCAGTCCATAGGCCTCTATCTGTTAGATCCTTTAGTTTCTCTTCCCAGGTAGGTGGAGTTTCTTCTTCTTTACGTACCAGTCTCTTACCCTTTCTTTCCCACATAACTTTCTTATTACTTTCTTTCATCTTTTCCTGAAATGGGTGGTCAAGGGGGGTGAGATTTTGGGGAAAATCTCAGTAAGGTTCGCAGCTGGAGCATTCTCCAACTATGACGCTTACTCCTGCAACAGTTTATAATAACAATACAAAATGGAACATTTAACATCATCATATAAAAATATCATGCCATCATCATCATCATCATATTCCTGCCGGCTTTTACGGACTTACGGAGATACCCAGAGTCCTCGTCAGGTTGCAACTGGAGTATCAGTGCACAGGCCAACATTTAATAGCATGGTTTTAAGTTTCAAAAATATCATAATCACATAATGTAAAGCACTATAAACATATTGCAGTCAGACCATAACTTATCATAGTTTCATAATGGTGGCATACATAGAGAGATTACTTCAACAACTGTAAACACTTACAGTACTTGTCGTTCTTTACTTGTATACTTTCAACTTTTGATCTCTTTACTTGCCTGTTTGCTCCCTTGACTCCCTAACATCATCATATCATCTTTTAGTAACTTATATAACATTCAACATTTGTGTTTTATCCATGTATAGGTCTCGGCTTTGCAGGTTTAATTACCTAGAGGAGTTGTTTTGCTTACTTACCCACTTGTGTAGGTTTTAGGACATTATTAGGTTATCATAACACTTAATAGAATTATTAAAGATTTCATTCTAGGCATGTATAGGTTCGGCCACCATAGATAAACATCTAGGAATATAATTTTTAAAACATGCTTTCAATTATATTATTAACTTAACATGGTTAGATCCTTTCAACATTAATCAAATAAAACCTCTTTTAGCTACATACCATTCGGCCTTATTGCCCTAAAATACCTAAGGGATTACTTCTAAAACATGCTTCTAACATTATTGATAATTTATCATGTTTAAATCCTAGAGCATCATTCAAAACATCATCTTATATATTCGGCCAACTAAGGTTATGATCATGCAAAATTGATTTAGAACCTAGGCTACTAAACATGCTAATCTAACATCATCATTTCATCATCTTTCATATCATTTAAACATCTCTTCATGCTTATAATTATCATACATGGTTCGGCCTTCTAGGGATCATATACTTAGGATATCACTTTCATGCTTTTACATGTCATTCCTAACCAAGAAGGTTCATAGGCTTACCTTTGATGATGATCAACGACTTAAGGAAACACTTCTTGACCTTTGACTACTTTGAATCTTCTTGAATGAACTTCCTTCCTCCTTGAACATACAAGGCCGCAAGCTTAAAGAGAGGAGAAGAGGGATTTTCTTGCTTAGAGATGAAGGGTTCTTTGGTGGAATTATTAGGAAGAAGGACTAAGATCCAGGCTTGTATTTGATCTTGGAACAATTAGGTATTTCTCACTAACACACTCACCATTTCGAAGCATTCATGGACTTCACAAAATGAACTAAACTCTTTGTTCTTTCCTTTGGTAGTGCCGCGGCTATAGAGGGAAAAATGAGAGACTAAAGCTTGTTCAAATAGGCAACCTAGAAGCCTTGCCATTACTTGATTGCTGGTAGGTTTCGATCACATTAAATGAGAGTAAGGTGGTGATTTGTTGTCATAGGTTAGATTGCTTAATTTAGGGACAAGAACATGATGTCAATTTCCTTGATTAAGGAAATTTAGTGATTGCTTGATTTAAGGAATTGATGATGTGTGACTAATCGTCATTAAAAGTTGCTCCCTTGATTTAAGGGATTGATGAGGTGTGACTAATCGTCATAAAGGTTGCTTCCTTGATTTAAGAAACAGAATTATTTGATTGATTGACATATTGTCATCAATTTGCTTGATTTAGGGAAAGTGATTGACTACTAATCATCATAATCCTAACTTCCTTGTTTAAAGGAATTTGACTGGCTTGACTTAAGGAAATTCGATTTGCATTTAATGGCTTGAAAATCAAATAAAATCAAATTCATTTCCTACACCTAGGCCGCGGATTTTAAATGCTTGGAAGGAAAAGATTTCCTTTAATTTTGGACCATGATTTATTCCTTAAGATTATGGACCTTTAACCTATTAACCTGACCTAATTTGTGCCTATTTTTCCATGATTTTATGACACTTTAAATTGACTTTTTAGAGCTTGTTTTCTCTAGTAAAACCGTGGGCTTCTTGCTTGTAGGGAAAGAATTCTAATTTAATTCCTAGTCATATAGTACTTCTTTAGGTTTATTATGTCATGGCCTTACTTTGGGCTTTAACTTGACTTGGGTTTCATTTACCTTATTGGACTTTACTTTATCATATAGAGCTTTCTTTGTATCACTTGGACTTGTCCACACTAAATGGAATTAAAACTTCCTTTGTTGGGTTATACTTTGATCGATGAATTCATTGGATCCCTAATGCTTATGTCTTTGGTCCATTGGACCCATACTTCTAATTTACTTAATCATAAACTATTTCATCTGAAATGTCTCGTTTATTAATTATCATAATTCTTCATTAATCATGATACAATATTTAGGGTTGTTATAATGATAGATAGTTTTTTAAGTCCTAAACCACCTAAACCACCTGCACTCTTTGGCTTTGTAATAACATCCCAACCAATAAGGTGCATGTGTTTTACTCTACTAGAGTCATTCCAGATAAAAGACCTCATCATCTGTTCCATCTCATTACAAATATTCTTGGGAATCATAGTTTTCTGCATATGATAATAAGGAATTGCACCTGAAACAGATTGAGCAAGGATCACTCTTCCAGCTTGAGAGAGGGATTGAACCTGCCAACTATTCAATCTTTCCTTCATCCTTTCAATAATTCCAGCAAACAGATTTTTATTTACTCTATCATGATTTATCATTGCACCCAAATACCTACCCACATTAGAGACCCTTTTAAACCCACTCACATCAGTAATTCTTTTTCCAATATCATCTAGAGTATTTTTAGAAAAATAAACACTTGTTTTTTGTTGACTAACCTTTTGTCCTGATATTTCACCAAATAAATTCAGACATCTGAGCAGAACTTGAATCTGCTCCTCACTAGCCTCTAAGAACAACATCAGATCATCTGCAAAGAGAATATGATATATTTTTGGACCACCTTTGCTTGCTCTAATCGGATTCCACATCCCTCCATTGATAGTTGTATCGATGATATGAGAAAGTTTCTCCATAGCAAGGACAAACTAATAAGGGGACAAATGATCCCCTTGCCTTATACCTCTACTTGGCTGAAATTCCTCTGTCAAGTTGCCATTCCAAATTACACTGGTCCTTGGACTAGAAACAACAACCATAATTAAATTAACAAGATGACTAGGTATCTTAATCTCCTCCAAAATTAGACGAATAAAATTCCAATTAAGACGGTCATAGACCTTTTCAAGATCAACTTTAACTGCCGTAAAACACCTTTTCCCCCTCATTTTCCTCATGGAGTGAACAAGCTCTTGAACAAAAACAATATTGTCTTGAATATGCCTATGAGGAACAAAACTTGTTTGAGCTGGAGACACCACTTTAGTCATAATTGGTTTTAACCGATTAACAATGATCTTGCTAATAATTTTGTAGACCACCGAGCAAAGAGATATTGGACGAAATTGAGTAATCAGAGATGGATTCTGAACTTTAGGAATAAGAACCAGAAGAGTGGAATTGATAGAAGCCAACATATCAGGGTAATTCCAAATATACTGCACTAGGGAGCAAACTTGTGGTTTAATAAGCTCTCAATTTTTCTTGTAGAAAATGGCAGGGAAACCATCAATCCCTGGAGCTTTGAAACTGTCCATATTGAAAACAATGTGTTTTATCTCCATTTCAATTGGATACTTATTAAGACAGTCCATATCACCACTCGAGAGAGCTGGCCACAAATTGTCAGAAGTAATCCATCTTTTATACTTAACATCTTCAGTGAAGAGAGCTTTAAAAAAATTACAGGCTAAATTCTTAAGCTCATTTGTCTCTGAAACCCAGCCACCACCATCATTTCTGAGTCTAAAAATTTTATTTGAGCTCCTCCTTACAACTGTTCTTAGGTGATAGAATCTTGTGTTTCTATCCCCATCCACTATCCACTTTTGTCGAGACTTCTGATACCAAAAAAGCTCCTCCTCTCTAAGGACATTTATCAGTAAGCTTTGACAATTTTCCTCAATTCTCTTCAAGCTATCTGAATCATTCAGCTCACGGTCACCTTGAATTTTAGCAATTCTACTAATAAGACTATTTTTCCTTCTATCAATGTTGCCAAAAACTTTTTTATTCCACACTTTGATATCCGGTATTAGCCTTTGGAGATATATGGGAAATCAAAGTCATGATCCCACTTTGATTTCAGAAAATTATTAAAGGAATGGTGCTCCTGCCACACAGCAAAAAAGTGAAACAGCCTAGAGCTACTATCTCTGGCATCTTCAAAAAGTTTGATAAGAAGTGGATTATGATCAGATAATAAACGAGGAAGAGTGGAGACTCTGGCTTCCTCAAATATAACTCTCCAACCCAGATTTGAAACCACCCTATCAAGCCTTTTAAATTTTTTATCTAAATTAGCCCATTTAGGACCCTTCCAAGTAAATAGAGAATCATCACAACCCATATCAACCACTTTACAGTCTTCAAGAACTGATGCAAATTTAGCACACTTTGATGGATCAGCCCTTACTCCTCTCTTTTTTTCATGTGTAAATGCAATTTCATTAAAATCTCCTCCTAGGAGCCAGGGTTCAAAATAGAGACACTAAGATTGCGTAAATCAATCCACAGATTTTCTCTTAATATTTGAGATAGGCTAGTATAAATAGCTGTAAAATAAAAAGACTGACGCGAAGGAATTTTCACATTACAGTGAATCAATTGGGAAGTTTTTGATAACACAACTACTTCAACCTTTTTGCTATGCCACATAACCCAAATCCCACCAGCGAAACCAACAGCCTCTTCCATAGCTGAACTATCAAATCCCAGTATTTTTAAGAGCTTATTACAAACTCCACTTTGGGTTCTAGGTTCAAGGAGAACAATAATATCTACATTATTATTCCTAACCATTGACTTAAGAGCTCCACCAAATTCTCTTTTGGCAGCCCCTCTAGAATTCCATATCAGAAAATTCATTAATAACTAAATTGGTTAAATGCATGTTTAAGGGATACCTGCTCCTTTTCATTCTTTTGCAGTGAGACTTCTGCTCCAGCAATATCTTCTAAACTGGAACTTGCTTGACCCTCTTGATGCTTATCCACCATCATTATATCTGGAAGCTTCAGTTCTAGTTCCCCTTTACTCAATTTTTGATCCAGATTCCCATTGCCCAAACCTTAGTTCAAAATATTAAGTTTTGGGCTGCCAATTGAAAGCTGCAACTTCGCTTCAGATTTTCCTTCTCTTGAGATTTCTCCCTCTATAGAATCACTCCTCTGACTTGGTACTATTTGCAAGGACAACTTTTTATTTCCAATCCCAACCTTTCCTCTATCAGAAACATCTTTAGGCAACCTCATATTATCTCCCTTCTTTCTATCTCACACCAATAAGAACTTTGAATTGCTTTCAACTAAAGAAATAACATGAGATTCAGATTTTCTGCTTTTGGATTGAAGAGAGCTCTGATTAGGTGATTGATAAACAACCATTGTACCTACTGTTTTACCATTTACCACATGGACGTCCTTGTTCCTTAACACCTTGATGGGACGAAAATTAGTTCTCATCTAAGCCCATTTTGAGGGCAAAATACCATTCGTTCCCTCATCTGATGAGCAACTTTAGCACTAAAAAAATATGTTTTATGTCTTTGTAACAAAAACACAGTGGAGAACAGATGATGACGTAATCCTTTGGAAAATATAGAAAAAGGGGAACAAATTGGGAACATTAAATACACCTGCTCCACTAACTCTATCTTTCTGACCACTATGCAGGAAACGTTGAAAAGAAGTTTTCATAAAGCATAAGGGGTACAACAATCAAGTACGAAGAAACGTGTACAGCAGGGAATAAAGAGTTCCCATTGGCTAAGAGAAAAGCAAGGCATGGGGGACTGCAGAAGAAACGACAAATCTCAACAATAAGTGTCCTATCCTGCAACTTGCGTCCTTCTGAGCACTGTTCACACCGCCCCTTTCTGCAGTCAAGAAAATAACTCCAGGAAATTACAAGCCTTGCCATCCACTCTTCTGCCTATAAATAAGACGTTCCAGCACGAAGAAAACTATCAAATTTCTTAAGAAGAGATCACTTAGTTTATTTTGTAGTTTTTTCATTTCAGTTGTATAGATTTAGCATTAGTTAAGGGACAACAACTTCTTCTTTATTCTGTATCACCTACTTGAGACTCCTCACGAGCAGCAACCATACTTCTCCACTTTTCATTTTATTGTAACATAATTTGTTTTCAGTTAAATAAACGTGTTATTTCTCTTTTTTTCCACTCGTTATCTCTGAACTGAATATCGGGTCTATGAGATTTCAGTTTGGAATAATTATGTTAAAAGTAGTAGCCATGGGCTAAGCTATTTTCAAAACTCTTGTACTGAAGCTTTTATATTTCTCTGGTTAAGTGTGCTATGTTCAATGTGTATCAATGGAAATTGAACGTATACTAAGAAAGAAACTTCCATAAGGAAGGGATTTCAGACAGCTTAACCAGGGGGGAAGGCAGTGTTGTTTCCACAACACTGCTGGTTGCCTTAGGAATAAGGGACCACCTCGTTCACTAAAGGTCATGTGCTAAGTAACTGTTGAAGTCAAGGGAGCCATAGGAATATGGAAACTTGTGAGCCATCTAGTCCATAGGAATCAGAGTTGGCAGTGAAAAGACTTAAACAAATACAGAATGCTTAAGTCCTGAGTGGAGATTATAACTATTTAAGAATGGAATAGTGGATCCATTCCTTGTGTTAAAACTGTTTTAAACCCTCCATATTGTTGTCTCTTAAATATTGTTATTTCTATTGTTATTTTTGCTTTATTCAATCTTGTATCTATAAATCTCCAATAAATATTGTCATTTCTTCTCTCATCAAGAAGGATTTCATATATAACGACGCGAGGAGCTGTTTGCTGTCAGATTGAACCTATTGTTCTTGAGGAACGTTGTCAAGACAGTAGCGAACGTTTGACCAAACAGGTCAATTACTAACTTTTCTTTTCATTTTCATTCTTTTTAAAATAGTTTAAGGCATTAATTAGAGTACTATCCTCGTGGGAACGATAATCTGAGCACTAATAGTCTTACTTATTACTTGATGTGTACACTTGCGAACTTGGGCTGAAGTTAAGAGAACGATCGTGTTTTCTCTTAATGAACTAAAGTAAAGGAACGTCCTTCATCATAATATTTTAAGCAACCAACGAGTTCACACCCAATAAGTTTTTGGCGCCGTTGCCGGGGATAGTTACACTAAATTTGGTCCTTATTACTATTTTAAGTACATACTATGTGTATATTTCATTTATTAATTTTTGGTCACATATTCTGTTGTTCATACTATCTGTGTTTTATGGTTTATGAGTGAAGAGTCTGAAACAGATTCTCACCACTCCACTGAAATACCTGAGTTCTTCTTTGATCCTGAACCAGAACGTACTTTACACAGGAGAAGAAGAGATCTCAGGGAAAATATTTTTGAAACAAACATGGTTGATCACAATAACAACAATGAAGAGATCCCTCCTGAATAGAACTTCAGAGCTCTGGCTGCTCCTTCAAGGAACAGACCAGAAAGAGGAGTAATCCTCTCCCCTGTTGCTCCCAATTTTGAACTAAAACCCATCATGTTTCACATGATCAGGTAGGCTAGAGTCTTCATTGGACTCCCTGCAGAAGATCCTTACGCACACCTCACCAATTTTCAAGATATCTGTGACAATTTCAGAACTGAGGGTGTGACAGAAGAGAGTGTGAGAATGAGGCTGTTCCCTCACTTTTTGGGCTCAAAAGCCAAAATATGGACGAAAACTCTCACCCATGAATCCATACACTCATGGGAGGAACTCTCTAATAAGTTTATAGAGAGATTTATCCCTATGTCTCGCAAAGCTGATGTTAGAGCAGAGCTTTCTAACTTTAGAATGTTTTATGGAGAAAACCTCTATGAAGCTTGGGAGAGATATAAAGACATCATCAGGAAATCTCCAAACCATGGGGTGGAGAAATGGGGAATTTTACAGTCTTTCTATAAAGGGATTGATCATACTTCTCAATCACATTTAGACTTTGCTGCAGGAGGATATTTCTTTACAGGAACTCTTGAATCCAGGTATGAAATAATAGAAGGCACTGCAGAAAGATGTCTCCAATGGCCACTAGAAAGAATGGGCCCAGTAAGGAAGCATGCATGCTAGAATTAGACAAACAAATTGCCATAGAAGCCCAGTTGGCTACACTGATGAACGAGGTGAAGAATCTGAAAACTAACCAAGAACAACCACGTATGGAAGTCTTACAACTCACAGCCATTGAGATTGAACCATGCTCAGCCTGTGGTGATAATCACGATTCAACAGACTGTCCATCCACAACCTTGGTGTGTTATGCAGAAAATTTTGGGAACAGAAACTTCACCCAGGCCAGGGACAATCAACATGCAGGACGCAACAACAAACAGAACCCTGGAGGCACCATAGTAAAAGATCAGAACCATAACCCTCAATGGAGACCACCCATGAACCAAAGACCATACAACCAGCAGCAACAATACCAACAACGCAGCAGTATGGGAAATGGAGCATATGACCAACAGAGAAGACCCAACTATGCTCCGTTCCACAGAGATGATCAACGCATCAACACCTCGGAGAATTATGTCAAGGAATATGTTACCAGGAACGATGTTGTGGTCAGAAACATTGAATCCCATCTGGGACAGATATCTGCTAGCCTCAGCAGCAGAACACCAGAAAAATTACCAGGGGACACTGAAGTTCTCTCAACAACTTCTCCACAAGAATGAGAGGTAAGTACCATGTCTAACTAAAGACACTAAACTAAGCGCTGACTGGGAGGCAACCCAGTGGATACCTTTTCCCTCTAACAAGAGCAAAATTTTGGGGTGGTTAAACTTAATCACAGAACTCCCAAAAAGAAAGGAAACGTCTGATGTTCACCTCTAAATCCAAAATAATTGAAATACGTTTCGTGACAGGAACGTAGTTTTGGGGTGGTTCAATAACCACATACCCCCATTTCTTAAAAAAAACAAAAAACAAAAAAAAACATATACATACATATATATAAATATATAATAATAATAAATAATAATATACATAATTATTAGTCCTTTAAATATTTATGTTTATTGTTTTTCAATATATTTTGTTTTTCTTTTCCATGTCAAATTTTAGTTATTCAGATGGTTATTAGCTTAGTATATTATTTTCTTAAGGGTATAAGTTAAAAGACAAATGGAACGTTCCCTGGCTTAGGAGATAAGAATGAAAGGGACACCTGTCCCTACTGAGTCACTCTAGGGTACGCAGCCGTTATCAAATCTGCACTCATTGCAAATATTTGAAAATGTGCCCTGCAAAAGCAACTGTCCACTCAGCCATTAATGCAACTGCTCCCATTTTCTTTCTCTCTCTCCAATGATTCTAACCTAAACTGTTCCACCTCCTCAGATCATCATCAGCAGTACACACCACTAACCCCTGACCACTTGTTTTGTAACAACCCCCATCCACTACTTCTTCAACTTCCTTTCTTTAACCTTCACGTCCTCAAAAACTCCTCACCTTCCCTCCTCTGCATGTATATTTAAGCTCTTCTCTTTTCTTTCTCGAACCTTACCATTTCTCTTGCTAACTTAGAAACTTTTTGCTCTTCATCACCCTTCTCTGCACTTTTTCCCTAACCTTTCCTTCGTCTATAACCATGACCAGACTCTCAGTAACCGTCACCCCTGTGGCCAGGAACCAGAAATCACTGAAGAGAAGGTGTCTCTCTACCCAAAGAGGAACCTTTTCTTGAAAGACAAAGTTCCTCTGCCATTCTTCGTGCGGAAGGCTTTGAGCAAACTCAAGTGGACCTGGTTTGCCACAGATGCACGAGAGTTCTACCCCTCCTTGGTGGCTGAATTCTTGTACCATGCAAAGAGACTACCTCAAGGTTACAAGGTTGATGAGGTAGTTGTGAGAGGGAAGAAGGTCTTCTTCCCCTCTAAAGCCATCAAGGAGGTACTCTACCTTCCAACCATCAGCAAGTGCCCTTACTTAGAGTATATAGAGTAGAGGGAGAACCCTGAGT